ATATGTACAGTTTCCGTGAGACAGTGCGTGGCCTATTTTTCGGTAGTGGGGGTAAAAGCTGGCGCCAGTGTGTCAGGGTTAGGGGAAGGGGGCCCAGGGGGTTAGATTGAAGTGAGTCGAGAGTGGGGAGGGTCCCAAAATGAAATGGTGGGGGAATTTTGCAGGTTTGGTGGAGGAGCGTAATATGTGGAATAAAAAATTATTAATATTGGAAGTGGGGGCGGACAATGTGTCGCCCTCGCTGTAAATCGGGTGGGATTATTCAGAGTGATTTATGTATATTATTTTATTTCTTTTTATTACATCGTTTCTTACGGCGTATAAACTTCGTCTCTTGCGGCATGAGCGTTGTCTGGAAGTTCCGAGTCTCAACTGATGAGTGAATCGAGAAGGAGTAGGTGACGATGGAGGAGCTAGGGGTAGGGGGTAGTCGTCGGTTGCTGCCGTATAAGAGCGAGGGTAATTTATGCTATTCGTTTACTAATTTTTCGTTTGCTAATTCGTTTACTGGTCAGCTATGGATATTCACGGGGATTGGTTTTAACTTTAGGTTCTCTCCGCCTCGTCACCTACGTTGAGAATATGTGAATGCTAAGTATGATCTGAAAAATTTAGGCGAAAAGGGACCTACTGAACGTTAGGCAAAGGTGGGGAGTTAGTGTGAGAGGGTAGTCGTCATATGTCTTAGCGTAAGGAGTAAGGAAGATCTATTGGTTTGTCTAGTGGTCAGCTATGGTTATTCGCGGGGATTGGTTCTTTCCACAGCCATCCCCGCATCGTCGCTTACGTCGAGAAGAGTTGAGGAGGAAACGTTACGTCAAGTGAAAACGGTCGTGGTCGAAACACGGTGAGCCGGCGCAAACGGTGGCCAAGCCAGGATTAACGGTCAGGAAGGTTTTGATGTGTGTTTGGTGGGATTGGCAGGGAATCATCCACTATGAGCTGCTCCCCTACGGCCAAACTCTTAATTCGGACCTGTACTGTCAACAATTGGACCGTCTGAAGGAATCAATCGCCCAGAAGCGGCCAGCTTTGGCCAATAGGAGAGGAATTGTGTTCCATCAGGACAACGCCAGGCCACACACATCGATAGTGACTCGCCAGAAGCTCCGGGAGCTTGGTTGGGAGGTTCTTATACATCCACCTTATAGTTCGGACCTGGCACCAAGTGATTACCACATGTTCCTGTCTATGGCGAATGATTTTGCTGGTGAAAAATTCGCCTCAGGAGAAGCTTGTGAAAATCGACTGTCCCAGTTTTTTGCCAACAGGGACAAGGGTTTCTCTGAAAGAGGCATAATAGAATTACCTTCAAAATGGCAACAAGTTATCGAACAAAACAGTGCATATTTGACCTAAATCGGATCATTCTAACTATACTAAATAAAACCTTCAATTTTACGTAAAAATAATGGATTTCTTTTTACTACACCTTATATTTATAACAGATTTGTGGGAAAGGGAGGGGGAAAGGGAGAGGGAGAGGGAGAGGGAGGAAGGGAGATAGAGGGAGAGAGAGAGAGAGGCGAGAGCAGGTTTGAACAGCTATGATTATGCGGGAGCGGTGCACTTGGACACGGTGCATTTGGACACAGCCAATCACAGCACCGTGTGATTAGAGATATTTGTAGGGTCCCTTGGAACAGCGACTTGTGATTGGACTGTGTCCAATTGCCCCGTGTCCAACTGATATACACCCGATTATGCGGTGTTTGGTCTCGATTTGATTCTCCTTTGATTCTTACGTTGAGCCGTGGGGGGAGGGGAGGAAGAGTATTATCCATGCGTGCGTCAGCATCGTGGAAATTTCTGGAGTTTATCGAAGAATATAGATATGGATATAAGAAAGAGACGCTTTTGAGGAAAAGAAAAGAAATAAACATGTTAAAGGATAAAATTCGCTATTTATTTATAATTACATATGAGGGTTCACAATATTATAAATTTGACGCGAGTTGCATCGCTTGATTTTTTATTATTCTTCGTACAATTTCGTGGAGATGAAACGAAGTTAGCTCCAGAAAGAGAATGTCAAAGTACACGTCCAGGAAATCAAAGTTCAGCAACTACCGCTGGATATTTTTCTCCTTGAGATTATTCCAGAGCGTGTTTTTCATCATGTCCTCATCTAAATAGCGGTTGGGTAAATGTAGTCCGATTTCCGCAATGAGAAATTCGACGCAATCGTTGACGAGATTAGTTAGCAAATATAGCTGTTTTCGTCGCGCGTCGATGCAACTCGCAATACTTTGGAAGCCTTCGAACGTGATTTTCTGCATCGCTATCGACGGCGAATAGGTCTTGCGTTTCTTCTTCGGTGGCTCCGTCGCTGTCGCGGAATTCGCTGTCGTGGCTTTCTCTTCTTCTGCTTCGCGATTACGCGTTATTATTATTGCTCTTGAACCGTGGTGGTGAAATAAATACTCGCGTTCTTTAGGATCAAAGGTTGTGGCGTAATTTTATCAACCCCGCGCAAGTAAGCATGCACGAGGTCAAATTCCTCTTGAAACTTCTGCCACGCTTCGAGTTCGAGGTAGATATAATCCGTCGAATTTCCGATTAGTTTTATCGTCGCTTCGTACCTCCTGGCGTCGTTTGTTTGCAGTCCTACTTGCACCCTCTTCGTATCCGAATTGTTTAAATTGTATGTTGTAAACAGTAACATGTTACCCTTTCGATTAAAGTTTCGACCACTTGTGATGTCACTGCGAGTGTTATTACATCCGTCCTTCTCGATATTCTGCTTGTTAGCGGCCATTATATTTTTCACTCGCTCCTCGAATAACCCGTGAATAATTTTAACAAACGTCGACTTTTCGTAACAGCAAAAAGTGACTATCGGAGCACTACCGACTGTATGAAACCCGCGAGCGATCAAGAGCGATTTTATATGGTCTCGAGAGTGCGAAAAATGCATAGAGGGAGGTAGTATACGCGTACCAAAAATGTTTATTTAATAACATTTTTCAGTTACGCTTCTCTGGTGCGCTTTTCTAGGAAGTGTTTTTCTGGAATTTTCTAACGTCGGGGGATAAATGCTTTAAACGCGCTAGTTTATGGCGAACAACGATAATATTTTATACCGGATATTCCGCATCCTTTGAATGTTAGTCATCACGACGTCACTTTTCTCAGGCTTATTTTCATCTTACTGCATTTTCTTTTTTTCTTAAACGCAACGGTTGCCGTAACTGTCGACAATATTCTAACGGACGCTTCTAAACTTTCCTTTTTGTATGTTTAGGCACTCGCGTTTTTGTTTCACGTACTTTTCCACGTACCTGACTGTTTCATCACGTTTTCCGGGTTCAGGTTTGAAAAAAAAGCGATCCTGGCAGGCGCGCGTGCAGGCGCCGTGCAGCCGCCGTGCTCGTGTCGTCTGAGGAAAGACACGCGCCAAAAAACAAGTATTCTGGAGTTCTAATGAAGCGGAGCGTATAAAAAAGGAGCGAGATATAAACAGGCATATTTGGAATATGTCGCGAATTATCAGGTTATTGTAATAGCCGGCACAAGCGAAAAATAGCCAACGGTATTTCAGCCAGCGTCTTCTGAGTCAGCGCGAGGATTACCGTCAAAGATACGATCGAAATTCACTTTTAACAAAAAGAGCGATTTTCCTAGAGAAAGTGCACCGTTACATACGCGTCGTATCATTTTTTTGTCGGCAAATGGTCACGCATTCTCGCACGTCCGGTAGAAAAACAATTTTGAAAATGCTTAATCCGTCGGGTCTTATTATTTACCTCAATATTTACCTCAACATTTACCGAGCGTGTTTTCGACGATAAACCCTAATAAATTTTAAAAATCTGCCCTTCTTTCCTGGGAGAACCGTTTTGTCCTAGCAGAGAGAGAGGAGTAAGATTTTGAGGGTATACGAGGAGAAAACTCCGGTTTCGCATTTTCTACCGTCAGTTTTCTGCCGTGAGACGTTACAATGTCGCGAGTGGGTACATTAGTGCGCGAGTTTATCGTTACGGCTTCAAACGCCGACGCGAATATCGATAGCGTTCGATATTTGACGCGTATTTCCGCCGATGACGCGAAAAATTATATTTTATTTTATTCTTTCGCATGCGCTTGTAGCAGCACGCTGCTAGCGCTTTTGTGTAAGTACGAGAAATTTCGGGATGATCCGAAATTAATGAAAATAATCAGAGAAATTCTGATATTTCGACGAGATTTTGAGGAGAATGTCGAAGACGTGTGGGGTATTATCGCCGACGCGATATCCTACAAGTAAGTTAAATCATACAGGTAAATCCTAGGTAAGTTAAATCATATCAATTTTATAGCGAAAACTAAAATTAAGTAATTTACGCGAATTTTTAAAATAATTGTTGTTTTTATCGTTTCATAAGTCCGAGTCTCGTAGCCGTCGGTAGCAGTGGCGAGGAGGCGCTTGAGCTTCTTCCACGGGATCGTAAACGCCTCGCGGAGGAACCGCCTTACCCGAGTCAGGCGACTTCGCGTAAGTACAAATCGAGAGAGAGAGAGAGAGAGAGAGAGAGAGAGAGAGAGAGAGAGGGAGAGGGAGAGGAGTACCGGATTTAAGCTGCTTTATCGAGTAAATTATCTAACATCAAAATAATTTTTAGGCTGTAATAATGCTCAAACATCGGAAGCCGACTTATGGGATTCCGACAGCATCTGCAGCGTGGAAACGCTTGTGAACGAGACCGTCGTCGTCGCTGCTGAACCCACAGGAAAGGCGGCATAAATATTTATAAAATAACAAAAGTGTCATGTTAAAATCGATTCATGTGATATAAGTATAATTTTATTTTCAAAAAACAGCGAAAATGATATCGGCGCTAGCGAAACGCTAGACGCCGCCGCTGCCGGTGCGGACGACGCCGACGGCGACGACGGTGACGCCGACGACGAGGATGACGACGACACCGACGACAGCGATAGCGTCGACAGAGACGATGGTGATAGACCCGACAGCGACGACGACGACGACGACGAAGACGACGATGATGACGACGGCGATGATGGCAACGTCGCCGTCGTCAACGACGTCAATGTCGACGAAGACAGCGTCGAGGAGAGTAACGAGGGAGAGGAACGCGACGACGACGACAATGACGGAGGCAATGGTGAAAACGTTCGCCGCTATCGAGAGCCGCTTTCTTCGGCAATATCAGGTAAGAACTTTTGCGTGCGAACCCACGAGGAATTCTCTAGATGTTTATTTTTATTTACGTACGAATTTAATCCAAATTGATTGTAAATGAAATTAGAACCGAGTTACTTGCCGGTTAGCCACCATTCCGACGAAGGGGAAGATTTATGCCACATATTCCCGACGCGGAAAGAGAAGAGGAATGGGAGAGAATACTGTGGGAGGGTAACGCTGAAATCCCCCCGGAATTACGAATTTTTCCTGATTCCCCGGTATGGGATTCTAGTCAGGAATTATCGTATTTCAATTTAACGCCGGAAGAGTAAATTCGAACGTGAGTTATAAGATGGCTTAAAATATTAAATATTTTACAGAGCTCGCGTTTCTAATTATTTTGCATTACTCTTTTACAGTACAACAAGGAGGCACACGTGGACGCGCTCTCTCCTCCGAAATGGAACCGGCGCGAGAGGAGTCTATGGAGGAGGAAGAAGAAGAAGAAGAAGTTCCTCACGAGCGCGGTAATGTTAAGTTTAATTATATTGAAATACAGGAGGAAAACGCGCGGCGGTTTAGAAATTTCCATATATTAAGACGAGATGCTAGTATAAAGATTCTCCCACCAGTCGAAGGCACCGACATTGCTAAACATTTAGAAAACGCGTTCCGCGAAATCTATTCTTACGCCGTTAATTCCGCTAACGCGAACGTTTACGTGGGCCTGTCTTTCATCTCGACGGCTTTGGGTGTATATCAGTTGAACACGGGGCAATTGGATACAGTCCAATCACAAGTCGCTGTTTCAAGGGACCCTACAAATGTCTCTAATCACACGGTGCTGTGATTGGCTGTGTCCAAATGCACCGTGTCCAAGTGCACCGCTCCCGACGGCTTTAACACGCGGGCCGGCTTGTCGTTTCGCCCTGTGCGAAACTTGACTCACGAGGATATCTGGGGCCTCGTAAGCTCGGTAGCGCAGAGCGCCGGGGGTCACGATATCGCGCAATGTTTTTTAATAACGGTGTACAATATCGGGATGCCTTCGGGCCGAGGGGGAAAATCGAATAAATTAACGCGCGAAGATGTGGTAAAACGCTCGATTTTAAATATAAATAATCGGGATAATATGTGTCTCCCGCGCTCCCTCGTCGTGGCTCGCGTTTATTGCGAACGCGGTACAGTACGCACGGGCGAACTTCATAGAAAATGGGAAAATATAAGACACCTATATTCCGCGTTGCAAAGACGTTTGGCGGAAGAATTAACGAGAAACGCCGCTATAGTTATACCCGAGGAAGGATGCGGTATCCCGGAGATCGAGCGTTTTCAGCAGCTTCTCTCGCTAGAAAATATCGTGATTGTCATTTATAATTTCAGGAGTTTCAGTCGCGGAGTCTCTCCGTTATATGACGGACACTCGACGCTAATCTCTCGTTCTCGTATAGCCAAGTATACACTAAATATAATGTATTACAAGCCTATTTTAATGCCTCGCGGCATTATAAGCCTATTTTAAATTTAAAAGCCGCCTCGGCTAGTAGATATTATTGCGGTTCCTGTAACAAAGGTTACCGTCGTGAAACGGGTCATCGGTGTTCAAATACGTATCCGCGATGCCTCGGTGCGCCTCCGTACAAGAAGCTAGATGCGCGATTGATCGCCTGCGACGCGTGTAACCGCGTGTTTTACGGCGAGAGCTATTTCGAACGTCATCGCGTGCTGAAATCTTACGCCGGCAAGTCGCCGTCGAGTGTCTGCGACGTCGTAAGATTTTGCAGCGATTGCGGGCGTTTGAAAATATCGGGCGCAAAACACGCGTGTGGCGCGGCTTATTGTCGCATATGCTACGCGTCGAAACCGCTGAATCACTTGTGTTTCATGCGGCCGCTTCGAGGGGTCGCGTATCGGCATCGGTCAACGCGAAAGAACTCAAAAATGTCGACGAGACCGATGATAACGACGATAATGACGATGCGAGAACAGATCGGAAGGGCCGCGCCGCGTTTATATTTTACGACTTCGAGACGTGACAAGACGAAATGCTCGAAGGGTGCGCGAACGTTAAAACACACGTAGTTACTCTCTGCGTCACGCAGCAAACGTGCCAAGCTTGTCTGGGATAGGACGATATGGCGTTGCGATGTCGTTAGTGCGGAGTGCACGAATTTGTATTTCGCGATAATCCGGTAAAACAATTCGTCGATTTTGCAACGAGAACGACGAAGCGTTTCTCCTGCTTCATCTGTATCGCGCACAATGCGGCGGCGTTCGACTCGGAGTTCATCTTGTGTTACCTGGTCAAGAGCGGTAAGACGAACGAGCCCAAAGTAATATTAAACGAGACAAAAATTGTATTACTAACCGTGGGACGGACAAAATTTCTCGATAGCGCTAATTACATGCCTATGCGGTTGTCAGCGTTACCGAAAGCTTTCGGACTGAAGGATTCTGTCGCCAAAGGCGTATTTCCGCATTTATTCAACACAATTAAAAATCAAAATTATATCGGGCCGCTACCGGATATTGATTATTATTCTCTGGATACGATCAAATCGACGAATGCGAACAATTTTAAACGTGGCACGCGGAAATCACGGGTAAAAACGCGGTGTTTAATTTTCAACAGGAGATAGTACGCTATTGCCGGAACGACATAGATATTCTTCGACGAGCGTGTCTGACCTATCGAAAAATTTTCTTAGACCGCGGAAACGTGTGCCCGTTCGAAGAATGCACGACTATCGCTTTCACGTGTATGAAAGTTTTTCGCAAAAACTTTTTGCGCGAGAAGGAAATTGGGATAATCCCGCTCGGCGGTTATAGGGGTGTCAACGCGCAATCGCGTAAAGCGCTGCAATGGTTATTGCTGATGGAGTATGAGCTCGGACGCACGATAATTCACGCGGGGAGAGGTCGGGAACAGCGTTTATCGGAAGGCCCGCTCGTCGACGGATATTATGAGACGGAGAATCCCCGGCAGCGTCACGTGCTGCAGTTTCACGGCTGTTCTAGGCACGGATGTCCCGAGTGTTTTCGCGTGAACCGCGACAGACCGCTCTCAACCGTGTCGCGCGAGGATACGATCGAAGCGCGTTACGAGCGCACACTCGTGACGACGTGTCGTCTTAGAAAACAGGGATACGTCGTTACGGAAAAGTGGAAGTCTATCTTCGATCGGGAGCTGCGCGAAAATCGTGAAATACGCAAATTTGTTGAGAATCATCCCATGTTGAGAAACAATCCCCTCGAACCTCGCGAGGCGTTCTACAGCGGGCGTACGGAAAATATCGTCACGCGGTACGAAGTTACGGGTACGGAGAAGATACGCTACGCGGACGTGTGTTCTTTGTACCCGTATGTGCTAAAGACGGGTGCTTTTCCGCTCGGTCATCCGGACATTTACGTGGGTGAGGAGTGTTGCGCCTTGATCGGAGCAGGTCCCGATTTTAACTTTGACGCCGTAGAAGGCCTCGTACGTTGCAGAGTGCTCGCGCCGCGTGATCTCTTCCATCCGGTACTCCCTTATCGCGTGAACGAAAAATTGCTATTCGCGCTTTGCCGCTGTTGCTGTGAGACATTTTCTCAGACCGCGTGTACGCACGATGACACTGCCGATCGCGAATTCGAAGCCGCGTGGGTGTCTAGCGAGTTACGCAAAGCTATCGAGAAAGGTTATCGCGTCACGAGCGCGAGCGAAATATGGAGCTACAAAATCACGCGATCCGGTTATACGGCGGGGGGATTGTTCGCCGAGTATATCAACTGCTTTCTGCAGTTGAAGCAAGAGACCAGCGAATGCGTGAATGATAAAGGCGACAAGGAACAGTATCTGCGCGAATATGAGAAAGTCGAGGGTATTGTTCTTAATAGGGCGAATATCTCCCCGAATCCAGGCTTGCGCTCGGTCGCGAAGCTCTGTTTCAACTCCTTCTGGGGTAAATTCGGCCAATCTACCGAATACTGAGATCGTTAGAACGTGGGAGAGTTTCACGACTCTGCTCACGAGTCCGGAGCACGAAATAACAAATGTATTGCCCGTAAACGAAGTGATATATGTTTCGTGGCGAATGAGGTGAGAAGCCGTCACTCCGTCTCCACTGACCAGCGTCGCGATAGCCGCTTACACCACGGCGTTAGCCCGATTAAAGCTATATTCGTATTTAGAAAAGTTAGATCGTCGCGTGTTATATTACGATACCGATTCGTGCATATATTTGAGCACCGATGATCCCGACGAGTACGAGCCGCGTACGGGAAATTTCTTGGGCGATATGACGGACGAACTCGAGAGTCACGGCCCCAGTAGCTACATCGAGACATTCGTATCCGCTGGCTCAAAATTTTACGCTTACGTCGTTCGCACGGGCGAAGGACGCGCGCGAGCAATTTGCAAAGTGAAGGGGATAACTCTGAATTTTGAAAATTCTCGCGTGCTTAATTTTAGTTCCATTAAGTCATTGTTACTAGCCGATGAAAAGTTAAAGAGGGGAGAAGAGATGGGTGAGGATAAAACCGTGATAAAACTGCGATTTAGCGCGACTCGGCGCACCGTATTTCACGACATCATCACAAGAGACAAAGTCTTGCATGCCAGTATTACTAAAGCGTAGTTTTAACGACAACGGATATTTCGTACCGTACGGTTACGTCTCCAGCGAATAGCGATATATCTCTCTCCTTTGTTTTACTTATTTGCAGCGTAAGATTTTAAAATTATTCCTAGGGTAAGAAAAATGAAAAACTGTAAAATATAAGAAAAATGTAAAAACTGCGAAATATATGGAATATACACGCCTGTTTACTCCTCCTGTAAAAAGATCTACGTAAATTTTACGCACTATAATTTAAAAATAAGGATTTTTATATGCAACGAAGACGAATGTAAAAAATAAAAACTTTTTAAATCAATTTTGTTCTTACACATCTTCACATTCCCTCCACCCCCTCCATCCCTCCAGCCCCCTAGACTTTAAGCGAGCGAGCGAAACACCCCGCGTGGGTTTACTAGCCCACAGTCGCGCGATTCGAGATATAAATCCGCGCTTGCGAGCCGGTCTTTTTTCATTCATAGAGTCGCGCGCGGAGACCGTTTGTTCGCGCGACATGGACGTGCGCAGAAGGCATCCTTGGACGTCGATCGTTTGCGGTACGACGGGATACGATAAAACGATCTTCGTGAAGACTTTTCTTCGCCATTTGTCCGTCATGTCCGACGTCCGTTTCGAAAGAATTTTGTTTTATTACGCGGAATGGCAGGAGGCCTATCGTCAACTGCAGCGCGAAGTGGATTCGTTGTACCGCCGCGAAAAGCTCGGGGCGGCATCGTGTGACATCGGAAAGCGCGCGGGAGGAAATATAATCGAATTTCGCGAAGGTTTACCCCGCCCCGATGATTACTCGCACGATCCGCTTTGCGCGAAATTAATAATAATCGACGACCTTATGAGGGAATCGTCCTCGTGCAACGTGATTGTGGATTTGTTCATAAAAGGTAGTCATCACAAAAACCTCAGCGTTATACTGATTTTCCAAAATCTCTTTCATCAAGGCCGCGGACAGCGGGATATTTCTCTCAACAGCAATTACATCGTGGTATTCAAAAATTTTTGCGATCGCGCTCAAATTCGCCACTTGGCGCGTCAAGTTTATCCGGATGATCCGAAGTTTCTGGAAGAGGCGTACCACGACGCTACTTCGCGACCGCACGGATATTTGCTGCTCGATTTGAAACAGTCCACTCCCGACGAATATCGATTTCGCGCGTGCATCTTCCCCACGGATAACGCGCATTATGTTTACGTCCCGCGTAGATTTTCGGGAAATCACGTATAAAACTCTGCACGCTCACCCGAATCGCGACAGTCGCGTCTTCGCGATGACATCGAAACGCGGGAGTAGCGATAGAGCGACGAGTATTGTGTGTCGCTCCATCGGCCGGAAAAATGTCTGCCTTCTGAAAGCACTGTGCTATTTAACGAAGAAAGAGCAAACCTTCTTCTTACGTTGCGCAGGTAAAGATTTCATCGCCTGTATCTGTGAATGCGCTTTCAACACACTCAGAGGTAACGTACCGCTCGACCAGCGGGAAAAAAATCGTTTGTCCAAATCTGCGCTGCGGAATATCGCGATTAAACGCACTAATTTGAAAGCCAAGAGGAAAATTATCGTGCAAAGAGGAGGATTCTTGCTTTACCTGATCGGACCCATACTCGGTGCTATTCTATCAATCGGTAGACCGTTAAATTAATTAAATTAAACGCTCGCGCGGATGAATCATAGAAAGAGCGAGAAAGATTGTTTTGGTTTCTGCGGAAAATCTCGCGAGAATGCAGCAGCAGCTGCTGCAGCAACAACAACAACCCCCCGTGATTACCGCCGTTTCGGCGAATAACGACGCGGGATCCGATGAAAATACCGTACGCACCCAGGAAACCGTTTTGTCGCGACTCGACGCCGAGATGAGACGAATTCTCGACTCAACGATGCTGGATCGCGAGAAATGGGAATTGTACAGAGAGATGCTTCAACGTTACCTGCATTTTTTCCGAGAAGAAGAAAAAAATCAACAAACACGCGAAAACGCGGCCGTTAGCAATGACGGCGACGATGCCGAAAACAATCGTCCCGAAGACGACAGAAATGACAACGTCCTCGATGACGAACTGGAGCTCGATCGTCGTCATCGTGAGAGAGAAACGAGGGAAGCGGAGGAGGACGCACCGACGGAGGCGCGTATCGATGAAGATAACGCGAGCGCATTGAGTCACCCCGTCGGCAAAGCCCCCCGTCGAGGACGCCGCGGCGAGCAGAAAAGCATCAGAGGAATACTTGATAAAATCCCGAAAAGTTATCGCGGTAAAGCGCGCAAGCTGTTGCGACATTTATGCGATGTGGCAGTGCCCATTAGAATAAGCTGGGACAGACAAGGGGTCGTGAGTATAGACGGAAACCTTTTAAAGGGAACGAACATCACCGAACTTGTCAACGATACGCGAGAGAAAAACCTTAAAAGCGACGGGGAGAGGCCGATTCGCTCGACCATTGCGCAATATAGCTACTCCTTCCGAATTCGTGGGAAATCGTGAATTACGAGAGAAGAGCATTCGTCAGATTTTCACCGAAGAATCGCCTTTGCGCGATAGTGTTTCTATTCCCGATGATTTAGCGGCACGTAGTAGCACCCCTATTCCAAAAGCGAGAGCGCGAGTGAATAAAAGCGCGTTCGACGAAGCACCGCTCGAAGATGAGCGCGACGATGAGGGATACTCGGCGTTTATATCCGGCGACGGTAACAAGAACAAAACCCGCGTGAGTGGCCGCGATTCCAAACTCGCGAGGAAGAGGCGATTGTTAAATTTGAATCTCAGGGAACCTTTGGAAAGTAACGCGTATATCCTCGAAGGTCCGTCGTCGTCGTCGCGTAAAAACGTAACTTTTCCCAGGACAAGGATGACGGCCGGTAAACGCAGATTCGGTAAGACATCGTTCGAAGAGGAACGGGACAACGAGGTGTTTATATCCAGCAACAACAAGAAGAATAAAACGCGCATGAATGACAGAGATTCTAAATTCGCAAGGAAGAGACGATTGTTGGATTGGAACCTTTTGACGAATGACGGGGCTGGAAAAATTATATTATAATCCCGCGCATTATGCGGGGTACTTAGCCGTGGAAAATCTTTCGCGCGTCGCCGAGTCGGATTTCAATCGAAACGAAATTATTAGTTGGCTCGAGTCACAAGACGCGTATACGCTGCATAGACCGATACGACGCAAATTTTCCCGCTTACATTACAACGTGACGAATATCGACGACGTGTGGGAGGCTGATTTGATCGAGCTTCGCAATCTCAAGAACTACAACGATGACTACTGCCACTTGCTCACGATTATCGATGTGTTCAGCAAATACGTATGGGTGGAAGCGATACGTGACAAAACAGGTGCTAGCGTGACGGCGGCACTCCGGCGCGTGCTCTCGAGGAGCGAGGGACGGCTACCTGTGTATCTACAGACAGACAAGGGAAAAGAATTCCTCGCGCGTCCCTTTCAAAACTTTTTGAAAGAAAAGGGCATACGTTTTTGTAACTCGAAATCCCGATGTCAAAGCCGCTGTAATCGAGCGCTTCAATAGAACGCTCAAGGAACGAATGTGGCGCTATTTTATTCATCGGATATTTTACGCATCGATATTTTGCAGGATATCGTGCGCGCCTATAATCACACCCGTCATTCCGCCACTTTGATGCAGCCGGCGAATGTTACGCTGGAAAACGCTCGCATCGCACGCGAAAATACGAAACGACGATACGAGCGCAAAAGGAGTTCGTAAACGAAAGGCTAAATACGCGGTGGGCAATCTGGTGCGAGTCAATAGGGCGAAAGGCACCTTCGAAAAAGGATACGAAGCGAATTGGAGCGAGGAAATATTTCAAATTCATCGCGTTCTCGCGTTCTCGCGTGGCGAGAGCCGAGGGTAACGAATTGAGCGATCTATCGAGTGAAGTTATAGACGGAATATTCTACGAACAGGAACTAGCGAGGGTGAGCAAAAATTTGCGAGAAGAGGAGTTTATCGTCGACAAGGTGATAAAAAGCAGGGGTCGCGGCGCCGGTAAGGAATTGCTAGTTAGCTGGCGAGGATACCCCTCTAAATTTAATTCGTGGATATCCGCTTCGAATCTGAAATCGTTCGGGCATAATGCAGGAACAATTTCTCAATTTCTCATTTCTACCTAGCAACAGCAGCATGCGATACTTTCCGGAAAATACGACCACGTCGTTTATCACGGAATTACCTCAACGAATGGATTTGCGCGGTCAATGGGAAGTCGCGCTCACTGAGATTTAGTTTCCCTACAGTTTTTTTCACATACAAACCGGTGAGGAGGGCCGACTCGTCTTCGTCAATATCGAGGAGCACGAGCCGAAGAAAACTGTCAAGATCGAAACCGCCTGCATAAC